CTGTGGCCATTCCTGGGGAAACACACGGTGTTAACGGCATTGGCAATAAGGTTTCTACAACAAAGTGGAAGTGATTTCTTTTCATAGCGGTAAATATACTCCAGTGAAACGTTTGGCAATGGAAGTATTTCCATGCTCTCAATTCACTTCTTTCTTCTCTCCTCCTTCCCTTTTTTATTTCCTCCCTCCATCCCTTCCTTCCCTCCCTCCCTCCCTCCCTCCCTTCCTTCCTTCCTCTCTCTTTTGTTTTTTCCTGGCCTTTCTTCCCTTCTTCACTGACTTCCTAATAACTGCCAAGGACTCTGATAGGGGCAGGAGCTCCTTCCCAATGCCAGCATACTACTGCATTTATTACAACCATAGATTTTAAGATTATGCTCCTGTCTGCATCTCGAGGGCAGGGACAGTGAGAGGCACGGTGTCCTCAGCGGCTGCCGCAGTGCCTGCCACAGGGCAGGACTTCAGTAAGGCTGGGCTACATGTGTGGACACTGTCCTGGGCATCGTGGCACCCTGGATTTAATTGGGGAAATGGACACTAAACCAGACCCGGTAAATTCCGGTATCAGGGCACGCACATGTGAGACAAATGGGACAGGGGTCAACTTTGCCTGGGTGAGGAGTGGTCAATGGTGGCTTCATGAGGGAGACTTGAGCTCTATCTTGAAGAAGGAATAGACAAAAGAGAAGGGCATTCAGGGCAGTGGAATAGCAGGAAGACCTCAACAGGAAGGATGAATTCAAGGGCTATGAAAACCTTGATATCATAGAATAGATATGGGGCCGAATAGAAAATAACAACAGCAGCAAACACGTTAGCTATAGCTAGCACGACTGTGTAGCAGTTACTCTTCCAAACACTGTATGTATTACCTTCCTTAATTCTCTCGACCACCCTGGATCCCTGTTTTATGAAGGAAGAATGGAATCAACAGCTGGTTGCTCAGGTACAGCATCAAAGTCCGTGACTGAAGACAGGTACCCTAGTTTCAGAGTCTATGTAAGGATGACATTATATTGGCTGAGACAGTAAAAGGCTGGAGAGGTTAAAAAGGTGGTGTGTGCTAGGAATTAAACGTGTCATGGTGCAACCTCAGGTACCGGGGTAGAGGGTAGTGGTCGTAGTAAAATTTTGTCACGAGAGAGACCTCTTCAGTGTGTTTGTGTAGGTAGTCACTGACCTTGCCCAATGCCCAGAACAGCTTGGAATGGGAAAGTGGCTTTTTTGGGAGATGTGGAGGTAGGTGTCAATCAACAGACATTCAAATGTACCTCCTATGTGTGTCAGGCAATGAGTTAAGGATACAGAAAATAATCATTGCTCTCCTGTCCTTGAGGCTGTTAGGACCTCCCCTTATAAGAGAAACAGATAAGCCAACAATGATTCCCTAACATGATATAAGTTATTGTCAATCTGTGTACAAATGGTGGGTAGGTGGGCGAGGAGAGAGCTCTCTGGGACGTGTTTGTGTGTGTGCATGTGTCTAGGTTTCTCTTACGCAGGCTTCACAGAGGAGACCCCATGGAAACCTGATCTTGAAGGATGGATGAGAATTTGATGGAGGAGGGATGCAGGATTTCCAGGCAAAGAGAACATCATGAGAGAAAGCAGAGCTGCGCAGGGGCAGGGAGTATTTGGGAACACGAAGCTTAGCATGGCTGTGTATACAGCATGATGGCTGGTGGAGAGTAGGTGCTTCCTGTTTTTAAATGAATCAGTGAAAAGATAAATGAATGGTATCAGTGGTAGGGGAGGTAAAAGTTTGTGAAGGGTCCTAGTATGCATGTCCAGGGAGGATGGTTTTTATCTTGTGGGCAATGGGGAGCCCATTGTACTTTTTGAACAAGGATAAAATATAATCAGATTTATGGATCAGAAAACACTAGAAACATATTCTTGCAACTGTATGGAGGGTGCACGAGAAGTGATTACTTTTGCAATTGTCCAGGCAAGAGAGGCAGTGAGGATTAAGAGCGGGGGTGGGGAAGATGTGAGAGATACCTGTAAGGAAGAAGTCAAAGGAGAGGCATAAATACAGAGGATAAAGGAAATCACAAGTAGTGTTTGACCTCATTAGGCAGTGGTTTGTAAAGTATGACCCAGAGCACTTAACATTTGACCCTGTGTCTTACATATGTACCCACGGGAAGCAAAAATTTAGAACCTTTCCATGTGTCACCACTTATCTGTTAAACAGGAAACCTTAACTGTATACTGAATTTTAGAAAAGGAGCAAAGTCAGGATTTAGAAAATACCAAGAGATCGTGTATGTTTAAAGTTAAAATACTTAGGAAATACATTTTGGCAGAAGTAGACGGACGAGGAGTCTAGGGAAATAAAACTCTTTTTACCAGAACTTACTCAGGGCTGGAGTTTATTCATAGGAAGTGAAATTCATATGAATAGAAACAGGGACCTCTCACTCACAGGTTTTACTCTATCCAACTTGCCTGGCTTTGGGCAGTGGGCGGGAAAGGGCTAATCCTGGGGGCGGGGGTGTGTATGGGATCAGAGGTATCACCATCTATCAACCACGGTCCATTGATCTTATATTTTTACTATATCCAGGATTTCTTCTTTTCAAATTGGCAGCTACAAGCAGCAGAAGGAAATTGGAGTCTCTGTGATTTTTGCTTCACTGGTTTGAGCTTTGACTTTATCTATGCCTTTAATTTTCTATTTAGCGAATAATTGTTGCCTTACGTTCTGTTGCACGAAACGTCCTGGAATTGAAATTAGACTCTGCCCGTGGCTGTGCACCTCTGATTCTTGACAGTGCCTATGATATCGGGCTTCGAGCTGAGCCCTTTCCAGAGCAGGTCAAACTTCCAGGCGTGGAGTTTTGCACATTTCCCTCTTTGCTGCTGCAATGCTTTTTTGGAAGTCTCAGATTGCTCACCGCCTCTTCCGTCATTGTTCTTTTAACACCTGGGCTAAGCCGACCGCAAGGAAGGCCATGTTGCAGGGGAAAGAATCTGAGCTCTGGGTTAGCAACCTTGTTCTGTCAGTTGGGAGCAAGATGATGTTGAGAAATTATTTAACCATCATGGCCCCAGTAAAATGGGACTAAAAATCAACTTCCTTGAAAGATAGTTATGATGGTTCAAAAACATAGAAAGGGTTTAACGTGGCGCCTAGTACATAGTGAACACTCAGTAAATGTCGGCTATTTTCAATTTTATAATTACAAGGGCTTCAGACAAGAGAGAGAGCCCTGGGAGCTAGGGGTGGGTGGAGTGGGTGTTTTCACTAAAGAGGAAGAGAAATTTAACTTATGTCTCGAAGGATGAGAAGACTTCACCTGGCAGAGCTGACTCCTCGGCTGGGACTGACACCTTCAAGCCTCCTCCTGGACTGAGGGCTCAAGGCACCATGTGCTCAGAGGCACCAGGTGTAGGTCTGTCCTCTCCTGGGAAATGATTTCCACTGTCAACTGCTGTGATGTTCAGCATGCTGGGTGCTCCGGGTGAGGCTTGAGCGGGCTGGGCTGCAGTTCTGTCCCATCTCCACCACTTCTTTCTTCTCCCAACACACATCTTCTCCCAGGAGGTTGCCCCGTCTTCTCTCAGTGGGTTCAAACACTAAACTCTTGGACTTTAAAATAGGGGTATGAGTTATTTAGTTTGTTTTTGCCATAACTTCAAGTTGCTGAATTAGAGCTGCCTAAAGGATTCTCTTTCCTTGTTCCGTCTTTTTCTCCCTCCCTCACTTCCTCTTTTCCTGCTTCCGTCTCATCCTTCCTGGGATAGTGAACTTTAGAATACAATGAGCCACACTGGCTTTGAATTCCAACTCTGCCCCTTAAGCAAGTTTAAATTCCAGCTCTGCCACAGAAGCATGTGTCATGTTTTCAAACATCAGTTTCCTCTTCTGGAAAATAAGACAAATAATTATACTTGCATCATAGAAATCTCAGGGAGATTAAATGCACTAATGTATGTCAGGGCATCCACCAACATGTCTGGCCTTAAAGAAAAGCTCAGTAAATGTCTCCTTTAGTTATTACTCAAAAGGCATTTGTTTGTTGAAAAAAATATGCATGTTTATATGTGTGTGTGTGTGTGTATACACTCATATATAAATGATATAAATATATATAAATGCAATTAGGAAGGTATAGGAGAAGAGTTGTAGGTGCTGAGACCATTGAAATCCTCAAGCAACAAGCTCTAGTGAAGAGAACCTCATGTGCTTGTTAACTCTGTGCCTTCCCTGTGGAATGCCATATTGATACCGCTTCTTTTAAAAATACTACTGATGCTCTGTGGCCACAATCACCCTGAAGCGTTGCCTGAATCTGCCCGTCTGCTCCTCTTTTCCACCGCAGAGGTCCTCACAGTGTCTGCAACGAGAGAGACCGAACACAGATTTCCCCAGCTGCATGTACTTAGACAGAAATAAGTAGGTGTCAAATTCTACAAGGCTTTGTTCGGTCCCCTCGGTTAGAAGGCCGAGATCAGAGCATTGTCTTCAAATTCTCCAGCATTCACTAGTAGAACTCAATCAAAGCGACCCAAGCCTGTACAATGCCTATGGTGGTCCAGCTGGAAGTACAACCAGTGAAACCTTTTAGCCACATGAACGGTGAGGTCAAACCAAAATCACACTAATATGCATAAAATGGATAACTAATAAGAATCTGGTGTATAAAAAAATAAATAAAATAAAATTCAAAAACAAAAACAAAATCACCATTGGAGAATGACCCACATTTTGTATGAATTAATTTAATAATAAGAAATAAGATACATTTCATAAATAGGAATGGCCTTGTCTGTCTTACTCACTGCTGTATCCTTTCTGGACAGCACAGCCTATGATACTCAAGGCTGTCAATAAGTACTAGTGAATCAATGAATTAATCAATGGGTGGCTGTGGTAAAAGGAACTGACCTAACAAGAACTTCTAAACTTTATTGAATGTTTATTTGTGTGCCAGAAACTTTAATTTATTTAATCCAAACAACAAGACATTATGGTAGGCTCTATTTTTATTTCCATTTTTGAAATGAGGAAACTAAAGCTTAGAAAAGTTAAATCCCAAGGCCAAGACCATACAACCAGGTCTAATGCTTTTCATGATCATAACACATGGTCTTAAATGCCTTTTTTTGGCTTTCACCAAATAGTAATAGAAAAAACATTCAACTTTGACATTTTAATTTAGCATAACACTCATTAAATAATCCAGTGCTTCCACAATCAGGTAGAACATGGCTTCATATTCCATAGGGCTCTACCTCAGTTTATTCATTCATAAGGTAGAAATGATGAAGCCTGCCTCTTCTCTGGGAGATTATGAGATTTAATGAGGGCAATGGTTATTATGCTTTGAAGTTAGAAAGTGCTTATTAATATCAGGGATCATGATTATGTTTCCCAATAAGATATCCTTGTCTTTAAAGCCAGTTGCCTGGTATGAGCCCCAAGGTTCCCCAGAGGGAATGGTAAAGGGAACATTCACGTTGGATGCCTAATTCAGCCCATATGGTTTTGCAGTGATTCCATAAGTGAGGAGGAGAGGAAATAATCCCATCTTTTTAACTTTCAAGTGTGGGAACATTAGAGTTTGCTCCTTAGTGATCATAACATTCAGGAATGTTGGCACCTTTTCTTCCTGACTTCACGTTACGAAACCCAGGGAGTGTTGAGTAACAGGATGTACGTTCATGCCATTTTCAGTTTCTTTGGGGGTTCGTTTTGGGAAACCTTCCTTCAAGCAAGAGCTTCAGTGGTTAGACACAGAACAGCCCTTTAACCTCAGGGCTGTTGTCTCCAATGTGGTGTAAAGGTCCTGAAGTGTGGAGTAAGAGTTGGATTCTGTTCCTGATCAGTTAGGAGCCATTGTTTGCAAATATGTTCCCCGATGGAAAAGGATCAGATCCCGGACGGTAGGGAATATTATGTTCATATTGCAAAATCTTGGTACGATCTGGTCTTGGGGCTGATGGGAATTTGATAAAGAATTCTTCTTGGCTGGAAGTGTCATCACTGGGCTCAGCGTGTTACCGTATCCCATCCTACCCCACCCCACCCCCATTCAGGCTGCAAGGCAAGATTTAGAGAAATCCCTTTGGCTCTGTTGGAGTTGCCGCAAGGATGTGAGAAGACCACAGGACTCTGGTCAGAAAACCGATTTGCCTCCCTAATATGTTACTTTGGGCAGGTTGTTTTAATTCTGCAGGTTAAGTTTTCTCATCAGAAAGTGGGGACCGTAATACTTGATTCTCTTTATCACCCAGGGTTTTGTGATTATTAAATCAATCTATCTCTACCTCTAGCTATTACTCTATCTATTGATCTACAGTAGATAGACAGATAGATTGATAAAAATATAGGAACATATAGAAATGGGAGGTGGTCTAGCATGGTAACCACGACAGAGATTCTAATTCTGCGTGGCCCTGGGAAAGTTACTTAACTTTTGTCTCAGTTGCTTCCTCTGGAAAAGAGAGATAAAAAATGACAATACCCACCTCAGAGTGTTATGAAAATTAAATGAGATGATTTATGTTGAAGCACTTAGCCCCAAACCTGGCACATGGCAAGCTCTTAACAAATATTAGGTATGGTCAACAGCCTCAGTGTTAAGAGAATGATTAGAAAATTATAAAATGTTATACACACGCAGAAAATACGACTATCTTTTAAATTTGCTCTTTATTTTGGCAAAAAGCAATCCTGAGGCTTACAGACTGTCCTTCGGAAAAATGAATTATTCACCAGGTTATTGGCCTCAGCACGTTTCTTCCTCAGCAGGAACAAGAGAAGTGCGAAATCTGCTGGCTGCAGCTGTGGCCCACTTACAGGGGTGCACTTGAGGAAATTCAGCACAGTGAGAACCTGGCTGTGACTCTTTCTTGTGAGGTCAATGTCTTTTGCAGAATAGGATCAATGTTGAAAAGATGCCTGGAAAGTGAACCTCTGCAAATTGAAAGCTATCTTCTTATTAAGTTTCCATATAAATGTACAAATACCTTCATCCAGAAATTGGGACATACAATCACACTGGGAAACTTAGCAGATATTTCCAGTCACTTCTTCAATAGAAAAATTATAAGTATGTGCTCATAAGATGACCCATAATTGCAAAAGAGCTAGGTTTTCCTTTCAAGGTGGTATCTTGAAACCTGAGAGAGATAATTCACACTGAAAGAACAGCAGAGTCACCTGTGGATCTTTAAAAAAAAAAATGTAAGTGTCCAGCCCTACCCCTCATGCTTCTGATTCCTAGGTCTGGGTGAAGCTCAAGATTTTTATTTTCTGGTTTGTTTTCGCTCCATATAGAATTTTTATGTGCGAGTGAGAACAACTGTAAGGAAGATTGTAGCATCCTGACTAGAGCCCAATCTCTAATTTAACAATTCAACTCTTATTCCTCTGCCTTGATTTATACCCACAGTTGGTTGTTCAGATCCTGTTTTCTAGCTCGTATTTTAGGACGGACTTTTTCTTCCTGTATAAACCTATCTGAGCTAATGAGAAGGAGATGTGGTGGGCGGAAAGGAACAGGTGGCAGGTACATAAAGATGGAAAACAGAGAACCTTAGTTAGAATGCACAGAAGAGTTTAAAGAAAGTGAAACAAAATTGTATTTTTGGAACAAAGAAGAGGTGAGGATTTCTGAAGACAGAGATTTTAGACAATGACTATGTAGCCACTGAGTTATAAAGGCTTGACTTTTGAAAGATCTCCTTTTACTCATTCAAGATCGGTAAAATCGAATCCACTTAAAACACAGAGATGCACATACTCAAAGTAGTTTCCATAAAGAGTAGGGAAGAATCTGTATCCAGTAAATGTGATCTCCTTGGAGAACCAAGTGAGCTGCCTGTTTGCAGGTGTGGTAGACAGTATCAAAGATGGCTGCCGTCAGCGCTGCTCCTCGCTTCAAGAGGTGGAGCCTTAAATCTAGGCTGACGTTAGCGATTGCTTAACAAATGGAATGTGGCAGAAATGATATTCTGGGACTTTCAAGCCCAGGTCAGAAAAAGCCTTAAAGCTTCTGCCTGAATCTCTTAGAACAGTCACTCCTGGGATGCCTCAGAACCCAGCTGCCATGCTGGGAGAAACCCAAGTGACATGGAGATGACAAGTGTAAGTGCGTGCCCTGGCTGACAGTCCCAGCTGAACTCTCAGCCGACAGTCAGTATTAACCACCAGCAAGATGAGTGAGCCGTCTTGGATGCTCCTTTCTAACCTAGTCCTTGGATGACTGCAGCCACCCTAACATCCTAGCCAATACCAGGTAAACCAGAAGGGTCACCCAGTGAACTACCTGAAGATGAGAAATAATCAACTAAGTTTTGGGCTGTTTTGTCATATTGCAATAGATAACTTAAAAAAGAGAGAAAAAGAACATGATTGCCACTCTATATTTGCCAGTAATGGGGAGATATTAAATTGGTTGATTTTATATATTTATTTATCTGTTCATCCATGCATCCATTCGTTCACCCATTCTTCCACCCACGATTCCGTCCATCCAATGAACCATCTGACACTTACTGAACATCTACTGTGAAAAGAACAGTGGGAGACAAGAGTTTATTTTTTCATTCAACAAGTATTTAATTAGGATTTACTATAGGGACTTCCCTGGTGGCACCGTGGTTAAAAGTCCACCTGCCAATGCAGGGGACACAGGTTTGAGCCCTGGTCTGGGAAGATCCCACATGCTGCAGAGCAACTAAGCCCCTGTGCCACAATTTCTGAGCCCATGTGCTGCAACTACTGAAGCCCGTGTGCCTAGAGCCCGTGCTCCGCAACAAGAGAAGCCACCGCAATGAGAAGCCCGCACATCGCAACGAAGAGTAGCCCCTGCTCGCTGCAACTAGAGAAAGCCCACTCGCGCAGCAATGAAGACCCAACGCAGCCAAAAATAAAAATAAATAAATAAATTTATAAAAAAAAGAATTTACTATTGCTAGATATTGATCAAGGAGTTGTAGACAGATGAGAAAATGAGTGAATATTGAAATAAAAGAAATCAGAGTGATGTGGTACCTGCTCATACTCCAGTGGGGGAAGATGGAAAATAAAGAGGTACCTAGATAGCCACATGGTGTAATTTAGAAGAGCACTATAAAGGAAATAAAACAGCATTATAGAATAAAGACTTTCTGAGGTACCAAATTACTGTGACTGTTGTATGTGTAGGTAGAGGAGTTCCTTAAGAAAGTGGCATTTGAATAGAGACTTGAATGGCAAGGAGAGAGCTGTGTGAAGAACTGGGTGAGGGGAGCAGTTTCTCATGAGAGAAAACTGAGCAAAGGCTCTAAAAGGGGAACAAGATTGGTATGGAGGAGGGACGGCGAAAAGACCAGTGTGGCTGGAACATCTGAACAAGAGAGAGAACAGGAGAAGAGAGGATGGAGAAGTAGGAGGAAGCAGGATCATGTGGGCTATAATGGGGATTTTGAATTTAATTTAGAATATACTGGGAAGCTCTTGCAGGATTTTAAGCAGGGGAAGAGTATGATCTGAATGTAGATTACTCTCGCTGCGATGTAGAGGATGAACTGCAGGGGAAGTGAGGAAGCCATTAGGATGCTCTTCCAGCGGTCCAGGTGAGGACTGTCGGTAACACGAGTTAGGTTGGTAGCAGTGGGGGTGGTGAGAGAAGGTCCTATTCAGAATGTGTTTCGGAAGCAGAATCAACAGAAGTTGCTGATGGTCTGGATGTGAAGTGTTAGGAAAAGCAAAGAAGAAAGGGTAATTCCTATAACTACAGTCTTAGCAACTGAGAGAATAGTGGTATCATTAAATGAGATGGGGTAGACTGGAGAGAAATCAGTGTGTAGTGGGGGCGGGTGAGTTCTCTTTTGACCCTGGTAAGTTCAAAAATCTCAGGCATGCTAAGGAAGGCACTGAATAGGCAGATGGAGACACAAGCCTGAAAAAAGAGGGAGAGTTCTGAACTAGAGTAGTCAGCATCTAGATTTTACATAAAGTCATAGTTGTGTTTCCCCAGCGAGAGTGCAGAGTGAGTAGCTAGCCAGGCACATTGCTATATTTGAAAGCTGTGAACAAACGGAGGACCCAGCAAAGGAGATTCAAAAGGAGTAGCCAAGTAGGTAAGAGCAAAACCAGCAGAATATGTCGTGACAGAGCCAGGTGAAGAAGAAGTTTAGGAAGGGAGTTGTGTGCAATGAAGTGTCAAATGATGCTTAGAAGTTAGTCACATGAAGACAGGGAATACCCATTGGATTGGGCAAGATGGAAGATGCTGATGAGCTTGACAAGAGTAGCTTCAGTGGGGTGGTGGAGACAAAATCCTGATCCAACAAGGTTAAAGAGAGAAGGGGAGATGAAGAATTGGAGACAGCAGAGTTTACCCTTTTAATGAGTTTGTCTAAAAAGAGAAAAAAAATGGGGCAGTTGTTGGAGGGGGACATGGGGTTAAGGGAGGTCCATATTTTGTTAAGATGGAAGAAATTATAGTATATTTATATGTTAATTGGAATAATCCAAGAAGAGGGAGAAATCCTTGATATAAGAGGCAGGTGAGATCATTTGAAATGCAAAATCCTTGAGTAGATAGGAGGGGATGGGGTCTACAGCATAAGTCATGAGGCTGGCTTAGATAGGAGCAGGAATGATTTATATATGTTAATAGGTAGGAAGGCAATGTACACAGGAACAGAAACAAGCAAGCTTATGTTTTGTTGATGAGAAGAATTAGTTATTCTTATCTGATCTAATCTGCAGGTACTCAAGGCTTTGTAGGGGAGTTCAGATGAGTTGCCAGGGAGATAAATGGTATGAAGGGGCTACAGATGAAATGATATGGAAATCAGAAGAAAGGGACAGATGTTGCTTCCAAGAGGGGACTAAGAAAATAGATTTTTAATTTCTCAAGTTTAACAAATTTCACTTCGATTCAAAGGTC